CCCAAAGCCCCAGTAGATAGTTGTATGTCATAGCTGCACATCCTTCTAGTTGCTGTATGTGGGACGCGGCCTCAGCATGGCCGGAGAAGCGGTGTGTCAGTGCGCGCCCGGGATCCAAACCCAGGCCCCCAGCAGCGGAGCGTGAGCACTTAACCGCTAAGCCACAGGGCCGGCCCTAGACATTTTCAAAATACATAAAAGCAGGGAGAATAGTTTTATGAGGACCTGTATAAACTTTACCAGTCTTCAGTAATTGTCAGCACGTGGCCAGTCTTGTTTCTTCTCACCAACCCCAACTGGATTATTTCAAAGCAAATTTTAACTATCATATAATTTCATTTGTAAATTTTTCAATAAATATGTTTTCATGGGTGTAATTGTGAAAAAGCATCTTTTTATTTTTGGCAGGACATTTTGACAATTAGATCATGGCAACCATAGAAGAAATTGCACATCAAATTATTGAACAGCAGATGGGAGAGGTATGTCTAGTTTACAGTTCATTCAATGACTCACCAAACTTATTTACACCAAATGTATATGCTAGGTTCTGGAGGTACAGAGGTAAAAGATACCCCCAGCTTTAAGGTAGCTTTAATCTAGTGAGAGAGAGTTGAATAATCAGACAATCACAATAGAACATGGTAAGTGCTATAATAGATAATAGTATGGGGTGCCCTGGGAGTACAGAAGGAAAACAACTGATGAAGAGTTGTGGAGGGATATGGGGACCTAGTCGGGCAACATTTTTGGAGGGTGCGAAATCTGAGGCCAGTCTTAACAGACCAGTGGGAAGAGATCCATGTCAATAGACAAGTCTTTGTTTTTTAAACAGTTATGTCCTATTCCTTAGTAAGAGGTACAGTAATCCAGAGGTTTTCAAAGCATCGTCTAGGGACTCTTTCAGAGAGTTATCAAGATCAAAACCGCTTTCATAATAATACTAAAATCTTATTTGCCTTTTCACTATTATTCTTTCACAAGTATACAGTGGAATTTTCCAGAGGCTACATGACATGTGATGATATTGTATGATGAAATGTGTCAACATTTAAAAAGTGTACATAACTCTGTGAACCAGTGTTTTCCAAATGACCATTGCATGATGTTATAAAATCACTCATGAGTTAAAAGATCCATTTCAATTGCAGGATAAACTAATGGATTTTAATATAGTTTCTGATTCCACATTGCAACTAACCTTTAAAAAGCTATCATTTGTCAAGTTTTGGTGTAGTATCAAAGAACAGTTTCCACAGTTTGAAGAGGCTATTAAGATGTTCTTCCCCCTTTTCAACCAATAAATGTGAGGCTGGATTTTCTTTCTATATATTTTAACCAAAACAACATATTGCAAGAGATTGAATGCAGAGGCAGGTGTGAGAATCCAGCTTCTATTAAGCCAGACATTAAAACAGTTTGCAAAAATATAAATCAGTACCACTATCCCCACTAAATTTTTGTTTGGAAAATATACTTATCTTTCGTAAAAAAGTATTGTTACTTATGTTAACATTTAATGAGTCATTTTTAAATGAATTAACAAATATTTTTAAAATTTCTGTTTGAATTTCTAATATGGTAAACTTCAATAGATATAACCCACATATAGACAAAAGCCCTTTGAGACTCAGTAGTTTTTTAGAATGTAAAGGGATCCTGAGACCTGAGAACTGTTTCCATAATCTATTATACTGTTCTTTATTGAAGGCCATTTGGATTGCTTTGGTTTCCAGTTATAACTATTATGCTGTAGTAATCATCCTTTTACTCATCTAAGCAAAATGTTTCAACCCTTGCATGCATCGAATGCTCTTTTCTCTAAGAAATAAGTGTGAGCCATTAGTCTTTTATTTACATCACAATTAATATTACTGATAGAAATAACCCCAAATAAAACTTACAACAGCTTAAACTTTTACATGGTAAAATATGTTGTAGATTAACTGACTCAAAGTCACATTGTATAGGTATTGAAAATTTCAAAAATTGTTAGAAGGATGGAGACTGGACTTGGTCGAAATAACCTATGTAAAATAAAATTGACGGCAGTTAAAACTGCACCCAGAAAAATGGGACATGGTAGAAATAAAGATCAACAAAGAAAACTCAAATTGGCAGCAGCTATAATCAATACAGTCTTCCCTAGACAAAAACTGATCAGTGATTCAGAACTTGGTTGTAAATTTTGCATAGAAAAAGAATCTTGATAAAAGTAACGTCAGGGAAATGGAAAAAAGTTGGAAACAAACCAACTTTGCCATTTTAAAATTGAATCGAGAAATTAAATTGGCTTAATGAGTTTACTCTGTAAAATATTTGCTCAACAAGAACAAAATGCTAGGCTAATTCACTTTGTTCATGAGCTTGCTCTTCCCCAGACTGCTGCATCTCGGTTGTTGGTGATTCTGTCCTGCCAGTTGCTCAGGCCCAGATTTCATAGTCATCCGTGACTCTTCTCTCCTCATATGCCACATCCAATCCGTCAGCACATCTTGTCACCTCTCCCTTAATAAAATATCCCAAATCCAATCATTTTTCACTCCCAGTACAGCTACCCTGTTCCCAGCCAGTATCTCTGCCTATATATAATACCCAGATATTGCCAGTATCCGTGCAGTAGCATCCTTTCTGGTCTCCCTTAATTCTGCTCTTGAACATTCACAGTCTAGTCTTCACGCTAAATTTAGAATGATCCTTTTTGAAGAAGATCCTGCTGCTCCTCTGCTCCATAAACCCTCCAGTGGATCTCCATTTCACACAGTAGGAAATCCAAACTTTTTATTGCCTGCGAATCCCTATATGATTTGGCCCCTGCTGTCACTCAGATCTGATCTTCTCTTCCATAATCCCTCTCTTTCACTCACACAGCTCTCCTCCTGTGCCTGTTGCCTCAGATGTGTCGAACACACTCCTGCTCCATGGCCACCTTTTATGTTCTGTTTCCTCTACCTGGGATGCTCTTTCCCTAGCTAGTCCTAAGCCTTAGTCTGTTCCTTGACTCAGGTCTGTGCAAAACTGTCATCTCCTCGTTGCTCTCATTCCATCAGTGACTCGCACCTTACCCTGCTTTAGTTTTCTTCGTAGCAGTTAATACTACCTGACAATGTTATTTGCTTATTTGTTTTTATCTGCTTGTCCTCACTAAAATAAAAGCCTTATGAGAACAAAGACTTGTTTTGTTTATTACTATATCTCAGGACCCAGAACAAAAAGTGCTTGGCAGATAGAATGCACCTGATAAATGTTTGTCTAAATGGAAGGTGGGAGGGAAGAGGAAGGAAGGAATCAAAATAATGAGGTCCAAATATTCTTACTATTATACCTTTATTTGCATATTTCTGTATTTCTGTAGGATGGGATTTCATAAAAGTATAAAAAGTGTTTAGAAGATGTATATGTATGTGCTAGTTGAAAAGGTGTGCGTGTGATGTGTATTACATTGAATATATATGTAGTGGTGTGCTTTTCCAGCTTTGTCTGAAGGTCTGAGAAAATTGTGTCCTTAGAGAAAAAAAAAGATTGAATTGAATTGATTACTAATTTGACACGATTGTATTAGATTGTTACAGAGCAGCAAACTGGCCAGAAAATCCAGATCGTGACAGCACTTGATCATAATACACAAGGCAAGCAGTTTATCCTGACAAATCATGATGGCTCTACTCCAAGCAAAGTCATTCTGGCCAGGCAAGATTCCACTCCAGGGAAAGTTTTCCTCACAACTCCAGATGCCGCAGGTGTCAACCAGTTATTTTTTACAACTCCTGATCTATCTGCACAACACCTCCAGGTAAATAACTATAAAAGTGTCTTTTCATCTTACACATGAAAAAATTAAAAAGCATGTTATAAATCCTGCCATTAAGACTTTATGTGTTGCATGTTCAGTAGGAAAAAAAAAAGTCTTGCATAAAATTATGTGCTGTGCAGATTCTCTATGGTGACTGCCCTCTCCTATGGGCCTCTATACTTTTCCTGACACATCCTCACACCCGTATATTTTGGGGGGTTCTTAGTTGCATACAGTAAGATCCACTCTAGCTAGTTTGGCCAGGAAGGGATTTAGTAGAGGATGAGAGCTCAAAGAATTGTTGGGAAGGCTGAAGAAACAGTTCTAGGTCAGATTTCCAAGAGTAACTATTGGAGCATGCTGCAGGACTGACTTCTGAGAGACCTGCTGCTTCTGCACAATTAGGAAACTGCCAAATCAGGAGCATGTTCTGTAGCTGCAGTTCCCCCCACCAAGCTGCCTGTGCCTCGAGCAAGAGGCTGCCAAATCAAGAAGTCAGTACTATAGCTGCCAACTTGGTCACTGTGCCTCTCTGTTTTCATCTACATCTTCATTGATGTAGCAAGCTGTCTACCTGATGGTCTGCTTTAACACTGGAACTCAGTCAGTAGTGTAGATTAATTTTACATTGTTTTAATTTTTGCAAGTTGTACATCATTCTTCACAGAGCCAGTTAAGCCTTTTACACACTGCATGCCTCTGGTTAGGTAGATATTTTTACTGCTGGTTGCTGTGATTGAATACAAACACAATGAATCCTTAAATTTGCGTTCAGAGATTTTTAGGGGGAATGCCCACTTAAAATTGGATTACATATTTTGTGATGAACGACTGATCAAAGAAAATTCCTTTTAAGATTGAAAAACTAATTCATAAAATACAAAATTTTGCCTATATATCCTGATAGATTCTGTTATTCTTAAGATTACATCATTTATATTATTTTTGGAAATTGCTAAGGTAGAAAATGGATAGGATTTATAAGAAGTTATTTCATCAACAAGACAGAAGTCACTAAAAAGTTTATAACATTATGCATACCTTAATTTCCGTATTTTTTTTATTAATAGACTTGATTTTAGTTGTTATGTCTCCTTTGAAATGGAATTACCTAGTATTGGATGACCTTGACAGTTTTGACGTGTACCGGTCAGATATAGTGTAGGTTGCCCCTCCATGGGACTTTGGCTGACTTTTTCCCTCCTCATCAGGCTGTGGTTGTGGGTTTTAGGAGGAGGAGGATCACAGAGGTTAAGAGCCGTTTTTATCGCATCATATCAAGGGTATTTAACTATCATCGTGTTTTATGGCTTGTGATGTTGACCTTGACCACGTGGCTGAAGTGTATCAGATTTCTCCAGTGTAAATTTCTCCAATTTTTTTTTTTCTCTATTTTAAAAATAAAGATAATACTGGTACTTTGCCTACTTTATAGATCATCTCTAAGGGCAATGAAAGAGAAACAGGTATAGGATGGGCTTCCCCAAGGGCGAGAAGATTGGATTTCTGGTCTAGTGACCTAAGATGGGATATGGGCAAGTCTCTTAACCTCTCAGCGTCTCTTCTACCCTCAGGAATAATAGCAGATAAAAGATTAGCACCATTTGCAATAGATAAGCTATTCAGGAAAAGAGTAATACTTTTTTCATAGGTGCTTTCAAAGGACATTTAATTCCAGAAATTGTTGGGTTTTTTTAAGTTTATTAGAGACTGATTTTTATGGTGATATAAGAAGAAATTATGCCACTATAATGTAGTATGGGATAGCCATTTTAAGGACTGTTTAAAGTTTTTAAAATCAGAATTGCTTCTGAAGGCATTCCCATCCCTAAGAAGAAAAAGAGTCCAAGTAGAGGATTATTTTGTGAGTTGTTTTAAAGCAAGGGGAGGTATCTACTAAATGCCACATCACATTTTTTTGGATTGGATTAATTTGTTCACATTTCAAAAGATTGCAAGAAAATAATGAAAAGCTTGAAGGATAAACCTAAAGAAGAAACTAGTATTTCTTTGCCGGCATTATATTAGCCATACCTAGTAATGAGCCGTACCTAGTAATGAGCTCTTTATATTAAAGAGGCTTAGTAATTTGCCCAAGTCCACCGCACCTAATGCTACTGACTTGCTACCATTTATCAGACTCTAGAGTCCATGCTCTCAACCACTACACCTAACCCAAATCTTAGCTCATTAATGAAAAGTTTATACCTTTGTATATCAATCATATATCCATAATTATAAGTAAATTTATATCAATAACATTTTTTCTTTATAACTTTTTCTATTTAAAAAATTCAGTTATCTTTTTATGCTGTTATAGCTTATTTTAGTCATGTGTTAGCCATGTGGAAAGGTTCTGAGCTGTTTAAAGACAAATGTCATGATAGGACTGATAACTGCTGCAATAGTTTGACGTGTTCCATATGAATAATAAAGTACTTATTGGGTGAGATGCATTAAAAAATACTCATGTATTTGTGTGTTTAACAGTCTTTTACTTTAATGAAATTGTTATGGGACAAAGCAAAAGGTATTCTTACTGTCATCGCTTCTTATAACATTAACATTTTTATCTATATATAAACAAAATTTATAGTTTGATATATGCATAATAATAGAATTCAAAAGTTTCAGAATAACTTATGAAAAAGAAAGCGAAAAGTAAGACTGACTGAATGTGCTTTTAATTTTTTATATGAGAGCATTATTGAGTAACAACAAATTATTTTTTTTGTTTTGGGGGGTTTTCTTAGCTCTTAACGGATAATTCTTCCCCAGACCAAGGACCAAATAAGGTTTTTGATCTTTGCGTAGTATGTGGAGACAAAGCATCAGGTAATGTTAAAAATAACCTCCTATATGTGTTGTGTTGTTAAAATAACTACCATTCTACCATGTTTTTTTCTACTGAAAGTAAAAATAAAAAGGAGCATGTCATTTTTGTGGTTCATATTTGTAGCCTGTGAAATTTAACTGATTTTTCCCCAAAGCTTTTCATTCACCTAAAGATTTTTTTCACTTCAATGCAGTTTAATTTGTTCTAGCAATGACATAAAATGCGTATTGCAAAGAATTCTGAAAGACAGTTCTGCTTTTTGAAAGTAAATTGTACATGTGGAAATTTTTTTGAATGTGAAACCAGCTTTGTCAAAGAAATTGCTTAAAAATGAGTTGTGATCCTTAATAATAATATAACATTAAATTAACCTGCCTGTTGAGCCCTGTTCTCATTCCAGGAATATAGAGTAACTTGAATTATTGGGCTGGAAAAAGCTTAGGTTAACCTTTATTTATTGTTCTGCATAGCTGAGCAGGCATTTCTCCAAGCCTGTTACTAGTACTCGGGGTTATGTCATTTTAGTTCTAGCCATTGTTAGTTCATGCCAGAAATACACACCCATGTTCACTCATATATATTCGCAAGTGCCAGTGGGATATAGTTTAAGGGCCCCGTTTGTTTTCTTTAATCTTTAATCTTTTCCGTAGCTTCATTACAAAAACCTCTGCTAGAGCTTTTCCCAGAGTATGTTCAATTTGTTAATAGATGTTGTGCCAAAGAAATGGTTTGTGAAATGATAGGTTAATCAAAGTGTAACAGATTTCTCCAGAAATTTAAAAAGTAGAACCCACAATGAGGAAGGATTATTATAGTTCAAATACTAACTGATATTATATCATTTTTTTGGAGCATAGTTTTCAGAATAGAATGTCTTTGTACAGTATATAACAGAACTATAATTTGTAACTGATCTCAGAAGTGAAAATAGTTGTTGTGTTAAATCATGGGCTTATGGGTGATTTTATTTCTTCCCTTTCCCAAATTTTCCATACCATTGTTAAGGTTACTTTACAAAATTAAAAAACTTGGGGCTGGTTAAGTGGTTAAGTTGGGCACACTCTGCTTCGGCAGCTTGGGTTCGTGAGTTCAGATCCGAGGCACAGACCTACACCACTCGTCAGCCATGCTGTGGCAGCGACCCACGTACATAATAGAGGAAGACTGGCACAAATATTAGCTCAGGGCTAATCTTCCTCAAGCAAAAAAGGAGGAAGATTGGCAGCAGATGTTAGCTCAAGGTGAATCTTCCTCAGCAAAAATACATAAATAAAAATAAAAAATTTATGTTGTTAATATATTTTATCAGAGAATATGGTTGTTTTGTTCTGTTTAGTAACTCCTAAAATTTTTTTTCATGTCATAAACTCAAAAATCTCAGTTTTATCTCATATATTGTTGTTTACAGGGAAGAAACGGGCTTATTTTATTTCTGTTCTAAAATATGTGACTTGTGTGTTTTCTTAAACATTTTGTCTCTAGGGCGTCATTATGGAGCAGTAACTTGTGAAGGCTGCAAAGGATTTTTTAAAAGAAGCATCCGAAAAAATTTAGTTTATTCATGTCGAGGATCAAAGGACTGTATTATCAATAAACACCATCGAAACCGCTGTCAATACTGCAGGTTACAGAGATGTATTGCGTTTGGAATGAAACAAGACTGTATGTATTAGCTTTAAAGGAAAATACTTTTAACAGTTCAACAAACTCTAAAAGTATGTTAAAATTAACACGTTAAAATACGTTAAATATATATATGCTTTTTAATTTACAATTTTCCAACTAGAAATATAAAAATATGTACATTTTTATGTATTTTTTATTCATTCAAAAAATATTTATTGAGTGCCTATATGCCATGCATGTATTTGTAGTTTGAACAAGGTTAAAAAAAAAAAAAACTAGATGCCAGTTTAGTTTTTGATTAAACTACTAAAGTGATTAATAAAGACAATAGTTAATATTTATTGCACTCTCACTATGCTTAATTCTGTATAGCAGATGAATTAACTTATTTATTCTCATAGCAAAATTCTATGCAGTGGGTACTGCTGTTATCCATTTTACGTTTGAATAAACAGAGAGATTGAGTAACTTGCCCCAGGTCACACAATAAGTGGCAGAACTTGGACTTGAATCTTGGCAGGTTTTTTACCTCAGAAAATGTACATTTAACAACTACAGTATACTATCTCCTAAATGTCATGAAATAAAATTCCTATAAAATAAGTGAAATATATATTACCTATATTTTATAAATGAAGACTAAGCAGTTGAATTACTTCTCAAAACTCTCCCTGCCCTTAGCTAAAAAAAATAGATCTAACTTTGGTCTTTTGTGACTCTCTATTAGTATATTTTTCAGTTGGTAAATATTATTTCATTTTTTCTAAACTTGCATATATTTAGATAAGAGACTCCTGACTTCCGTTTTTCCTGTTTGACACTGCGCTTTTAAAAAATAAGAGTTCCTCTACATTTCTACCACAGGGGGCCCAGGGAGAGAAAAGAGAACGAGAGATGAAAATTAGCCAGTTTTACTATTTGAAGCAACTTTTTTTTTTTTTGAACTTGCAAATAATTTCTAAAGATGGATGGTTGTCTTTGGAGTTCAGTTGCGGTAACCATGTCTCCCATTAGCAGCATTGCTGACCTAGAGCTTACGTTTATAATTGCCTATAAATTCTGCATTGTGATGTAATAGTATAACGCATTTTTGTAGCTGTTCAATGTGAAAGAAAACCTATTGAAGTATCACGAGAAAAATCTTCCAACTGTGCCGCTTCAACAGAAAAAATCTACATCCGAAAAGACCTTCGAAGCCCATTAGCTGCAACTCCAACTTTTGTAACAGATAGTGAAACTGCAAGGTATAGTAAAAACAACAAACAAAACATATGTTAAGTAGTGGCTGGTCATTTGTTTTTCTTCCCATTGAAACTAAGGCTAAAATTTGTACTTATTTGTTACAGGTCAGCAGGACTGTTAGATTCAGGAATGTTTGTGAATATTCATCAGTCTGGAATAAAAACTGAGTCAACTGTGCTGATGACACCAGATAAGGTGTGTTTAGTGCAATTAATTTAAAGCTTAAATTTTTTTAAGCTTTTAGAGTTTTTTCCTTTTCTTTTTCTCCTCCATCAATTTGATCAATTGATTTGGTCTTAAATATTCCCCATTACAAGTTGCCTTTTTTTTTTTTTAACATAAATTATCAACTATTTGGTTGAAATGTTTATTGTTCCACTAGGAGAATTATAGCTTCAGTGCGAAAATGACCAACATTTAAGTCTTCCAGATTTCTTTCCTCTTGAAATAAAAGTCCTCAGACATAGAAGTTTATACAAAGTGCAAATTCTTAATATTCCTTTCATGTTCCCCTATAGATTTTATAATGCCAGGATACTTAAAATATTTCAGGTGAAGAGAAATTCCTAGCACACCTTACTCAAAACATTGACTTGAGTCAAGAGTAGGGGTAGGATTGCAAGAGCTCTCACATTATGTATCCAAGTCATCTGAGTTCTCTTAGTGGTTTGGAGCAGCTCTTTATTGAGCAAGGGTTCTAAAGGAAAAAAAATTTGTTTATTTAGATTGAGTGTGTAGAGTTTCTGTAGTTTTCAGAAACCCCTTATGAGAATAAACAGCAAAAATTTCTACTGAAGACTCGTATCTGAAAATAGATTTTAGGGGGCCTCTGACTAGTGTTTCTCTCAGCATATAATGTGATCTGGTTTTATATAAGCTTCAAGATTATTCATCGTATTTATGGCCAGATTTGTTACATATTTGTTGCTTGGTACTTAAAGCACTCTTATACTTGTGCTCTGAAATCAAATTTCATCTGCCACTTACTAGCTGCGTAACCTTGGGCAAGTTATTTGATCACTCAGTGCCTCAATTTCCTTCCTCATCTGTAAAATAGTGATAATAAGAGTGTCTACCTTACAGGTTGGGCTTTAGCATGTTGTCATTAAGTGGGGAGATTTGGCCTCTTACCATTTATTTTGGAATTACAAGATTTTACTTAGACTTGTCTGTGATTCAAGGTTAGAATGGTAGTTACAATTCATTGACATATTAACTCCTTTAGGAAAAGGAAGAAAACTAAGTTTTGTTGAGAAATTACTGTTTGCCTAGACACTGCTTTTCTATATATCTTTATATTAAATTATAGTAACAACCTTGTGTGGTAAGTTTCTGACAACTGATCCCAAAACTGTCAAGTCACAGAATGAGGTCTTTTCACATTGCTTAAGAGTCTTCAGTGGCAAAAACTTAAAAATCTAGTTAGATAGACATGTTAGGGAATGTAAAAGAATATATAGGTGTTTGTTTTAGTTGAAAATTAAAACACCTAAAAATGCTAACTCCTTTTACTCATATATAAGAAGGCTGGCTTGGTTGTTAGGAGCATGGGCTTTCCCATCACACAGACCTACATTCCCATCCTGCCTCCACTATTTACTGCTGGAGTGCAATGGATAATTCTTCTTGTCAGTAATAGAGAAATGATTTCCATTTCACAGGGTTGTTGTGAGGATTAAATAAAATACATATATAAGTAGTAATCATGTAAGAACTTAGTAACTGGTGGGTTTCTCAGTAAATGATTCTGGGACCATTCATTAATTTAGGGAGAGCACCAAAATTGTTTCATTTTACTTATTCACCAAAATCAATTTCACATAAGCTAAAGAATTGATATAATAATGAAACATCAAAGAAACATATATTCTCTTAGGATAAGAACACTCAAAACAAAAACTATAAAGGAATAATCAAAAATACCATTAAGGGATCCTGTCAGTAGGCCATAGAAGGCAGCTGAATGGCCTCTCACTAGGTTAGGTTAGAATAATTTGAGCATTTAAAAAAGAATGACTAATGAATTGAAACACATGAAGTATATAAAAATCTATGAAGTTAAAATGATACTCAGAAATCATCTGTCACCATTGGAGGCTGCTAGGGCATTGACTCATTGCTCTGAAAATTGATAAATAAAGGGAAGAAAAATCAAGCACTTAATCTGCCTTTCCTTTACAAATTCTGTTTCTGGATCGTCAAAGAGTTAAGGAGAGAAAGTTCTTTTTCATAAAAAAATTATGGGTAATTAATACATAAATAATATATGCATCATTAATAAAAATACAAGCTGAAGACAAAAGGGAAAATATGCAATGTGTAACAAAAGCCCAATAGCTTAAATATGTAAAGAGATTTCTCAGCTGCACAGTACCTGCAATATCTTAAATATGTAAAGAGATTTCTCAGCTGCACAATACCTGGTATTTAACACAGTGACTGGTAAAACTTGGCGTCCTGGGAAGTCTGTTCAATAATACATTTACCTTTTTTTCCCTCTTTTCACTAATATTAATTTTATTACACTCTATACAACTTTATGGTTTGTATAATAAGTTTTGGAAATTATAATATCAGAATTTTAATGCTATAAAGAACTTGAAAGGTCATCTAATTTAATATCCTCTTACAGAGGATGCAACTGACATGAGTAGATTAGCCATTAAGTAGTTTTTGGCTTAAAGTAACTTGTATGTAAACATTTCCTGGGAAAGGTACCTGATGTTTTTAAACTTGTATTTTCCTCAAGAAGTTTCTAAAAACCGAGAGCTCTTTGATCCTACTTTCTAGGTTTCACTTAGAGTACTTTTCTTTTGGCATTTCATAGTCTAGAATTGGATATTTCAGATTTAAAAGTTTACTGATGCCAAGTTGCAGAATTTTAATCTTTTTTTTTTTTCTTTTTAAGGCTGAATCATGTCAGGGAGATTTAAGTACCTTGGCCAGTGTGGTTACATCATTAGCAAATCTTGGAAAAACTAAAGATCTTTCTCAAAATAGTAATGAAATGTCTATGATCGAAAGCTTAAACAATGGTGATACATCCTCTTTGTGTGAGTTTCATCAAGAAATGCAGACCAATGGTGATGTTTCAAGGTAAGGTCTGTTTTGATCTTAATATCCTTTAGTATTTCTTGAAATATTTTTATGTTGAATACTACTTAGAGAAGTTTCAGAAAACAAGTATTTTTATTAGACTTAGAAAATTTAAGGCATAGTAGATTTTCACTGAAAAACTGCATTCAATGTAAAATGTTGTCCAGCAGGTTATGTTCTAAATAATGAGCAATAAGTGAATATTATAAGATTAGAAATGTAGTCATAAAAGTTAGGAATTTTTTTTCCCCGCTAAAGATGATAATTTGGGTCTGACATTTCAAATATTTTAGTTGCCAGATTTTATCTTCTGTGCATTTACAGTTAACATTTGTCTTACTAGGCAGTCATGTTCATTTTCCCCACCAATTTCCAGCAACGAAAGTAGATAAAAGACTTAGTTGAATCAATTTTACACTTAGTTACACGAAATTACACTTCAGAAAACTTGCATTAGAATTGTTTTTCATTCTCTTGATGGTAATACTTAGGATGTAGAAATTAGATTTCTTCAGGCTTTTTTCGTACTCTTCATCTAAAATACTGAAGAAACTGCATATAAGTGTCTCAGTAAGTCCTTTGTTTAACATGAGATTTTAAGGAACTGTAGAAAACATCTCATTGAAAAATATGGGGAGCTATTTTGAATAATTATTTGCTAATATTAGTTAATTATTTGCCATCCTAATCTCACATTCTTACAGTTTAGATGTAGCTATGTTACCCAAGTTTAAAAAAATTCTCTGAATTTTTAAATAAAATTAAAACCTAGCTTGGTGTTGTGTAGACTACAGTAAAGTCAGCATACTTGCCCTTGTTCTTGCCCTTGTTCCTTCTAAATAACTTCTGTATGTAAAACAAATGGGCTGATATCTGGTATCAGATGTGTTACTTGTAAAAGCATACTTCATACCAAAGTATGAGGATTTTTCTCCCTCTTAATTACATAAGTTTTTTCTAAAGACTTTAATTCTCTGGTACTGCATTAGTATAATATTATGGTTTTTCATACTATACATAAGAAATTTAATTTGTTGCTTTTGGACAGAGTCATAGATATCACTGAAATAGAGTACTCAGTGATATACCAACGTTCTATTTTCTAATCAAATTTTTAGGCCTAAATCTTAATTCCAGAATTTTATATAGAATTTTCATTTTATTGTGGAGATTGGCCAAGCTCACAGCTTCTGATGTCTCCTTATAGGGCATTTGACACTCTTGCAAAAGCATTGAATCCTGGAGAGAGCACAGCCTGTCAGAGCTCAGTAGAGGGCATGGAAGGAAGCGTACACCTTATTGCTGGAGACTCAAGCATAAATTACATCGAAAAAGAGGGGCCACTTCTCAGCGATTCACATGTAGCTTTCAGGGTATTTCCATATATATATATTTTTTATGACTTTTATGTTGTGTTATCCATTTTGATTTTAGTCTTCCTTGCAAAAATCAAAGTATATTTGTTGTGCTTTTAAAGTTAGAAATATCCCTGATAGAATTCAAAACAGCAGCTAAAACATATACATCTAACTATATAAAATAATGGCTTAGTGAAACATCTTGTTTATAAATCATAATTATAATATCAACTAATGGGTTTACGTCTATGAAAGTTAGCTTTTAGAACATTTAGACAGTTTTTTGTCATTGTTTTGTTTGTTTAGACTGTAAGTATTGGCATTCATGATGTGTTGAATGTGCTGGTTTTCTTCAATGCCTAGCTACTGCTACTTTAGTGTAAACCAGTATCTAAGACCCAGATATTCTGCTCTTACCATAGTAACTATGAAGAACTCCATTTATTATGTATTACCTCAATTAGCTAGCGCTCAGCATTATTTTAAGAAGGTAAAATTATTTAATACATTTTAACTTTTGATTTTTAACTTTTTATACTTGAACCATTTTAGAGAAGGGTCGTTTGTAATTTTTTTTGCTCCCCTAAAAATGGAAACAATACATGTAGAATATTAGAAAGTAACTTTCTAGCATTTGATTTGTCATTCAAGTAATGTTCGGGCCACAGCTATAGATACACTGACCATTGAGAGCCCTATGTTAAGACTGCTGTTTTGAGCCCTCCATTTTAACCACTCTGTATCTTTGCTCTGCCATCTATCAGTGCTGTTAGCAAATAGTATGCAAAGTGAGTGAAAGTACATAGGAGATTTCAATTAGCAATGTGTAGCAGTCCTGGAATACCTGTGGGTAATTGCTCCTAACTTTACTACAGATTATAAATTTCTATGTGTTTCTTATGAAAATATCGACAATTATCAAATAGATATGTGTGTAACTGGTAGAAAGACTGAACATAAAATACATCTAACATTGGCTAAAACTGCGTTTGATAAAATTTATATTTGCAAAATTTGACTTAGTAGAAATAGCCCCATAGAAAATGCAAGGTGACTTAAATAATAATTACTGTAATTTGATATAGACAGTAAAACATATCAATGAAATCAATCTTCATGTAAAATTTTACCAAAGATAACTTATGGAAAAAATTAGAAAAGTTTTGTGTGCACTGTACAAGAAATTTTTTTTTTTAAGAACATTTTTCTGTGGGTGCTATAAGAACAGGCACTGGGAATAATCAATGTCATCTTTAAAAATTCTGGTAGGAGCTATGCAAAACTGATTTTTCCCATTGCCCTTTCTTATTCTAAATAAAAGACATTCTTTTGTTTTCTTAATTTTATTTCCTGCCTTTGGATTTAAATGGGAAGGAGGGTAAAAGGCAAACAAGACAAGGAGCCATGCAAGGGAAGAGTGTAGAGACTTCCACAGAGAGCAGGAGTAGTCTCCCTCGTTTATTGTTGATATTGGTCCTCAGAATTTTTGATTCTTTCGGATATTTGTTTTGGACAGGTGATTAGGCAACTTAGAACATTTTTTTTTTTCCTGGAATTGGCTTTTTTCCATTCCGTCTTTGACCTGCGATACTCTGGGTATCCTCAGAATCACCACTGTATAAGTTTCTTGCTCTTCTGAAAAGTACAGCTCCTTTTCTAAAAGCAGTTTAGAACTGTTTAGCAAAAGGTATTCTTTGTTGTTGTTTTGCATCTTACTTCACCTCCCTAAAATTAGTAATCTTTGGTAATTCCCCTGATTTTTCAGGCTTTTTTCCCTGCTCACTTTGGGCAGTTCTGAAAAGGTATATACTATAAAGGTATATACTATATGTATAAAGGTACATACATATATACTTATGTGTAGAAACAATTGTATCCTAATAATTACATTTAGGAGGTTTAATATCTGCTTGCCTACAGTTCTCTTAAGAATTGTCTTAAGTAATATTTTAATTTACTGCTCCAGTAAACATTTCTCAAACATTTAAAAAATTATCTTCTCATACATGGAATTTCTGCTGTTAATTGCCCTATTATTTTATTATTTGGCACCATTTATAAATAGGTAAACCATTTGTGGCTAATATTAAACAAAGGCAGTTAATATTTTTTTACATTTTTACCTAACATTTCTGGAGAAATTTTGTATCATTTTGATGAAAACCTTTTAATCTCTTTGACATCATAGACACCTTTGAAAATCTGTTGAAAGCTCTATATCCATTCCCTAGAAAAATACATATGGGGAAAGCCACCTGTCTCACCCCAGAATTAGCCACTGTTAACTGTGTGGTGTATCCCTTCTGTCCTTTATATGTGCGCACACACACTCTCTCTCTATCTTTAACATAAATTGGGTCATCTACGTAATGTTTTACAGGTTTTCCCACTTAGATGTCTATGAGATGTTTTTTCTATGCCATTACATCACAGTTTATCTTACTAATTTTAATGCCTACAAGGTACTGTATAGTATGGATTATTCTTTCCCTTAGTGATAGAAATTTGGATTATTGCCAGCATTTAATTTCTCTGTTAGGAATAGTACTACAATGGACATCCTTATATGTGTTTTTTCACGCACATATGCAAGTATTTTTCTGGAATAGAGATTTAGAAGTGGTGTTGCTGCAAATAATCAATAACCAATCTATAGATTAGAAAGATAAGGTGAGATTTATTTGAGCTGAGGACTAGCCTGGAAGTGCAACCTCCACCAGGGAAGAAAGCACCCTGGAGAAGTGTGGTTTATAGCATGGTTGTATACTGTTTCAGAACACAGAACGTACATCAAGCATGACAGGAATACAATTTCTTTTCGAAGACACGAGGAGATGTTTTGCTGCAGTTTAGCACATAAACAGCAGATCAACTTGACCCTGATTTTCTGGGAAGAAAAGCTTATCTTCAAAGAAGTACTAGTATTGGCATCAGAGGGAGACATTTCATCCCTATCTCTAAAGAGTGCATTCTTTGCTTTGGGATAATCTTTGAAGCAGATGTACAATGGCTGTTTGGCAGGCCGTAAGTCAGGCTGCTCTGAGAAAAACAAGTTTTAGCCTGAATCAAGTTTAAACCAGAAGGGCTTCCCCATATACCTCAATAAGTGAAAACTTCTTATTCTTACGATTTTCATCAGTGGCATTATTAGATCACAGGATGTATTCAGTTTTAAAATTTTGATAGATGCAACCAAATTGCCCTCCAGCTTACCCACCCTCAGTAGTATGTGAGTACTTGTTTCCCTATATCATCACCTATACTTGATATTATTGATCATTTCAATAATTTTAAAATAGAAAAAATGTTTCTTTTGAGTGAAATTATATTACATTTATAGCAATAAAAGTTCTCTTTAACAAGATTTTCAAAAATACTTTTAGCAGATTTTGATATAGGATATTTATTTTCAACAGTGGTCACACATTTAAAATAACTGTTACCTAAGGTCAGCAGTACAAATTCACAGCCTGTGAGTATTATAGCCACAGACACATTTTGTTTAACCTGTGGATTAAATGAGGAGATTTCACACAGAACCTGCTCTTTGAAAAATTGAAAAAGCAGGCAATACCGAGCCCAAATTCCCATGTGTTTTCAGTGTGTTGAATTCAAGTCACAGCTGTGCCTTTTATCTGGGACTGTGCACTTCCCAGGTGGCACCAGCAGGCCCACTTCACTCGTCACTCTCCTGACCCTCTAAGCATTTGAATTTGTTAACCCCATAGCCTAAATGAAAGCAACATTTAACATACAAGATTGCTCCTTAACGTGAATTTGTGGTATACCATTGTGAATAAAGGAAGGGAAGAAAGGAAAAAACGTATTGTGAGACCAAGACAGAAAGTAACTTTTAAGAACACAACCAGAGAATATCATGGTTGGTATTTATTAAGTGAAATTCTGCTTGTCTGAGTATTTCTTTGTTAGCAACTGTGATTTACTTATTGTAAATCCTATTTTTAGCTGTAAAATCCAGTGACTTGGATTAGATTACTGGATATGCCTTTTGGTGAATATATTAGACTCTTACTTGATATATTATTTTCACATTTAACTTTTTCAAAGACACAATAATTTAGAACTGTCCGTCATAAGATAATTTACCTCATTCTCTGTTCACCCTAGCTCACCATGCCTTCTCCTATGCCTGAGTACCTGAATGTGCACTACATTGGAGAGTCTGCCTCCAGACTGCTGTTCTTATCGATGCACTGGGCACTTTCAATTCCTTCCTTTCAGGCTCTAGGGTAAGTGTTTTGAAGTCCTAAATATAAATGTGATTTTGTAGCACAAATGTACGTTAAAGAACTTTTATTTTAGAAAGGTTTGCAATAAAGGAAAAAAATGGTGTAACATTATAACTTGAAGTTTTGTCATTTATTTGACAAATTATGGCAGCTAGTATTTTCTGTATATTATTTTTATGTGGAAGAGTATCCATATTTGATAATTTGAGTAAGTTCACAATTCAAATGGAATATATGCAGCGGAACTCATAAATCATGGGCAGCATTTTTAATAGGCCATCTTTGATTGACTTAAAGATAGGGAGGCTGTAGGGATGTCCTAGGCTGCTTGTTTCCATCCCACCACCACTGTTTCTGTGTTCATCTCAGGCATGTTAATAAGGAGCTGAAACTTGCATACAGTGAATATGTTTAAAAATAGAAATAATTGTTTTCCAATCATGTGGTTGCCAAAAAGGAGGGGAGAGGAAATGGAAGCCCCACAGTACCACTATGATAATTTAGAAGTTTGGTCCTACCACTAAAGAGCACATCTGTATTCTGTTCTGAAGTAATCAGATGATAATGGAAAATGGTCTACTGTAAGAAACCCATGCTTTACCTAAAGATTGCCCAATTTATTTAGATTGCTTTCAAGTCACTGGTATGAAGAGGCAAAGAGACCAGGGAAAAGGTTAAGCCCACAGTTAGAAAAGTATTATTATAGCTACAGGACTGTACTCACTGTTATGATTTCATGAACAATTCACTTTTATATCCTGTACATGTGTTTACCCATTTGCCAAATAGGATTAATAACTGCCCATTCTTTATCCTTAGAGAATATTTTGAACATAACTAAGAAACATATCTGAATTGTGACTTTTGAAGGCATACATTGGGCCAGCCCTGTGGCGTAGTGGTTAAGCGCGCATGCTCCGCTGCTGGTGGCCTGGGTTCAGATCCTGGGCGCGCATTGACACACCGCTTGTCAGGCCATGCTGTGACGGCGTCCCACATAAAGCGGAGGAAAATGGGCACGGATGTTAGCTCAGGGCCAGTCTTCCTCAGCAAAAAGAGGAGGATTGGCATGGATGTTAGTTCAGGGCTGATCTTCCTCACCAAAAAAAAAAAGAAGGCACGCATAGAATCTTACTATAATTTGGTTTATTAATCAGTGTTGGATATACCATGCATTAAATCGTGTACTTAAATAATACAGTTACATAGACTAAAAGCCTGATTTAGAATGGTTAAACTTTAAAATGATTATTAGCTCTTTCTCAAAATAACATTTAACTTTCAGAATTTCTCCAGTCTGTTTTTTTAAGAAAAAATTAAAATACAATGTAAATTTACATATTAGCAGTTTTTAATTAGCTGTTAAGCTTTAAGTGTAGTTCTCTAAGCTTATAACTGGCATACTTATGCCTTGAAAAGTCAGTTGATGATATTTTTCGTAATAGGCTAACAATTATTATAGTAAAACAACAAAAGAAAGGATTTTTAGGGAGTGATTTGAATTCCTTGAATTATTTATAACACCGTTGACCTTAAATACTTCTGTTAAATTAATTGTGATTATCCTGTGGAAATAATCCAAATGTTGAAGAAACCAAAAATAAAACCTGAGGTTTCTGGTTATAATATAATTTTATAGTGGCAGCCACATTTCCTCATGGTCTGTGTTGAAAATTGGTTTCAATGTAACAGCCACAGGATTCTTTGCAATTAGAATTAACCATTGATGTAGCATTCAAGGCCATTAATTGCTACATAAACTCTTATTTATTATCCCTCTCTAGATAATTTATGGTTTAAATTAATCAGATGTATGAGGACTAAGTAATAATGATGGAAAATTCTGTTATGTGGTAATAAAAGTCTCGCAGAAACTAGCATTGGTTGCATTTTTATCTCTAGGTACAAGACTTGGAAACAAAGCCCTAATTTTGCAGAGAGAAACAGATAAGCAACATTAATCATTTTCTAAAAGTTGAGTTTGTTTTGATCACTTACTTTAATGGAGGGAAACAGTAGCTTAAAGAATCTTTTTGTGTGTGTGTGAGGAGGACCAGGCCTGAGCTAACATCCAATGCCAGTCCTCCTCTTTTTTTTTTTTTTTTTTTTGCCTGAGGAAGACTGGCCCTGGGCTAACATCCGTGCCCATCTTCCTCTACTTTATATGGGATGCCGCCACAGCAGGGCTTAACAAGCAGTGTGTAGGTGCGCGCCTGGGATCTGAACTGGCGATTCCCGGGCTGCCGCAGTGGAGCGTGCACACTTAACCGCTTGCACCATGGGGCCAGCCTCTTAAAGAATCCCGCCCCCCCAAAGCCCCAGTAGATAGTTGTATGTCATAGATGCACATCCTTCTAGTTGCTGTACGTGGGACGCGGCCTCAGCATGGCCGGAGAAGCGGTGCGTCGGTGCACACCTGGGATCCGAACCTGGGCCGCCAGCAGCGGAGCGCGCGAACTTAACCACTAAGCCACGGGGCCGGCCCGCCCTTAAAGAATCTTAAACAGTGGTTGGCTAATGCTATTTGTATTTTACAAGGCTTCTGTGTTTTACAAGGATATTGCTTTTCTGTTTAACATTTGTAGTTTCAGTACTTACAGGAATTCAGTTGTTTTTCAGTTTTACCTGCATACTTTAGGTAAGTGACTGCACAGTAGTAGATTCAGTTAGGGGCACTTGGCGTGATTTGTCTGGAGTAAGGGCAGCAGTCCTCCCTACGTAGATTCTTATAGAAGGTCCAAGCCAGGGGGCCAGCCCGGTGGCGTAGTGGTTAAGTTTGCACGCTCCGCTTCGGCAGCCCAGGGTTCATGGGTTCGAATCCCGGGCATGGACCTACACAGCGCTGATCAAGCCATGCTGTGGCAGTGTCCCACATAATAGAGGAGGAGGGGCACAGATGTTAGCTTAGGGCCAATCTTCACCAAATAAAAAAAAGGTTCCTAGCCACCACCATTTGCTACAGGAGACTTTGTTGGTTAATTTGAGAAACTTTCCATTAAATGCTAAGCTTGAAAGTTGGATCTTCTAAAATTTCACTAAAACAAAATAATGTTTACTCTAACTGTGGGTTTGAAACCAGCTCTATTGCTGTATCACTGACTATTTTTCCCTAAGGGCCATACCTTCATTTCAAATAGATGCTGCCAGGTAAGGTATAATGCCTTGGGTTTATTTGTGTAGAAGCCAAATGGTTAGGTTATCCCCAAGTATAGGTGACCTCAAAAGTCATATTCTCTTATGGAAATAAATAGTATAGTGGCCGGCCTGGTGGCATAGTAGTTAAGTTTGCACTCTCCACTTTGGCGGCCTGGGGTTCACAGGTTTGGATCCCGGGCACAGACCTACGCACCGCTCATCAAGCCATGCTGTGGCAGGCGTTCCACAGATAAAATAGGGGAAGATGGGCACAGCTGTTAGCTCAGGGCCAATCTTCCTCACCACATAAATAAATAAATAAATAAATAAATAAATAAATAAATAAATAAATAAATACATACATACATACATACATACATACATACATACATACATACATACAATGATCTGATCTCTAATTATGAATAGTACATACGTATTTAATAAACATTGACAATATAGTACAGCAGTTAGAAATACCTATACCTATTTCTAAAAGAAGTTGACATATTTACTGTTATGCAACTTAATGTTTTATTTATTAACACTCGCATTGCTTTCAGCGTACTTGACTGATACTTTGATTACCTCCTCTGCCTAGCTCCTTTTACTTCTCAAAGGAAAGATATTTTGAAAATAGATAGTATAATGTGACTGCAGTAGTCATTTGTGTGTTTGTTTTTCTTAACAAGACAAAACTGGTATCACACATGCCCTTACCATCACAAAACATTAGCCTTAAATGGGGAGTCTCTAGTGAGAAATTTGACTTTAGCATTTTACTTGCTAAAATTTGTAATGATTTTTAAAAGAGAATAGACTTGAACACTTGGGTTGAAATTCTGGATTTATTCGTCTGCTAGCTTTGTTACTTAATTGAGGCTCCATTCCCACGTCTGTAAATTAGGAGCAGAAATGCTTCCGTGCGGGCTCTGCTACTTAGATGAGATGATGAATGTAAATTTATCTAACTCAGCACTGCTACAAAGTAGATAATAAATGCTCATTTTCATTTATTCTCTTAGGAACCTTCTTTTTAAAGGAGACTTGCTGGGTTTTTTTTCTAATGAACTTTTAAAAAACATATTTGAAGAACATAACTAGCTATACTCAAAGATCTTTTGTTTCTGTTTTGGATAAAAATATAAATAGATATCTTTCTATAACTGATCTCTACATTTAGCTCTTTCGCTTTTCCTCTGGAAACAAAATAATATGGTAGTTGATTTCTCAATTGCCAATTTTTATTTTTTTCCTTTGGAAGTGTTCGTAACCATTTTGATGTTCCTCATCCTTTGCACGAATACCCGTTAACCTTTTCTCTGAGTCTCCCCCAACAATGGCAGAGTACTTTGTTACTATGAGGTGTAGCACATGCCAGTAAGAGCTCTGGCTTTTTTCTGTCAGTTGGCTCTGTTCTTTTTCCTGTCCTGTGTTCACTAGTTAATTACCTTCATTAGCTGTTTCTTCTTTAAAACTTCAGAATCTGAGGTTAAGGTGAAAACTGAATTCCTTCAAACTTGAAGCATCATGTTTACTTTTAACCTTTTCCTCATGTTTGTAGAATTTTAAAGTAATACTGAAGTATAGAAATATAAAGTAAAACCTCTCTCTCCAAAGGTAACTGTCCCCACTGTTAGCAGGTTGTTGTTCTACCAGATCTCTTCCATGCTATATTTAAAAATAAAATACACACACACATCTTATCTTTGTCTTTCTTGATACGCTTATATGATGGACTTCTTTCTATGTCAGCACATATACATTTACCGTATTCTCCTTGTATTCCATTTAATGGGTTTATTATAATTTACTTACTCATCCCTTATTAGTAGACATTTGGGTTGTGGCTAGTTTTCTGTGTT